GTTTGGAGCTTTAGGGCAGAGGATCTGCCAGCCAGGCTGTAGCTGTGCCTCCACACAGTTTGGAAAACAGAGATTTTTTTTTTTTCCTCAGAGACTTTATAACAAACGTTGGCTCTGACAACACCAGTTTGCACTTTCCAAACCTTCCTGGTTCTAAGTTTGTCTTGCAACAGAGCCAAGAGTGGTGTTACAAAAAATGTCTACAGATAGCTGCTTTATGTGTGTGCTGGTGCCTGAGCACACCTGTGATTCCTGGTTACATGCCAAAATAGCCAGAAAGCTTTTTTTGTGTGTGTGAGCTTGACTTCTCACTAACCAAGTGCCAGAAATGTCTGACCTGTTGGTTACAGCTCCTTCATTTATGAGGACATCTAAAAAGTGCATTTGGCCAGAAGTTTTTTATTTTCTGATAATAGGAACTGTTGGGTTTTGCATCCAGAAAATCACAAGGTGCTTTATAAATGTGAGTCTCCCTGTTTGAAAGGAGAGGGAAGCCCTGGCTTGCTCACCTGCTCTAGAAGGGATTTGAAGCCAGTGGCAGATTTTTTTTTTATTTTAGTTTTTTTATTACGATTTACTGGTTTTTTGTGCTATCACAGCATTCACACACAGACCTCCAATGTACCATTTTTTTCAGAGTCCAAACAACATCTCTGCCTAGGCAGTGCCCTGGAGAGCTGAGAGAAAGGAGAGATCGCCTGCTGCTCTGCCACCTTGCCTAGAAAAGGAGCATCCAAGCTCTTTAATTTTAAACACACTTCAGAGAGTTCTTGCTGCATTTTTCTGGTACTGAACAATTCTGTTGACAAGGCTGCTGTGTGGAAAGAGGTGGAGAATACAGAAGGGTGGCTCAGGAGGCTCCAGAACAACCTCTGGGACAGTAATTTTTTTTTTTATTTGAGTTGGGAGTCAGAGCAGCAGCTGGATGGCTCCCATGAGGCTCCTTTCATATAAACTCCTCCTGTGGGCTGGGGTCGAGTGTTCCTCATCCCTGACAGGCACATTCCTTTGTTTTATAGCCACAGCTAAGTCAAGGAGATGGGAAACAGGCAAATACAGGGAGATTTTGCATTAATGGGGTAGATTATTTGCCCACTTTGTTCTCTCACAGAAACTTGCACAGTATGACAGGAGAATAAAAGCAATTTATGTTCTCTTAATCCCACAGACCAGGCACGAAGGTGAGACTTGTTCTTCAGGTGTTTTGAGAGAGAAGTTTGCAGCAAGAACCTGGTGTTTAAAATGGGAAAATTGAACAGTGCATGACAGTGCTTCTCCTGACAGGCTCAAACCCCCACATGGAGCAGATGCTGTTGTTATTGCTGCTCAGAGGCAGCTCTGAGATGAACAATTTCCATGTACAGATACTCCTGTGGCATTGCATGACTCCTGCATTAACAGACACTAAATTTCCCTTGTAAATTGGCTGCTGTGGGGGTACTCACATTTTTTAAAAGCTATTTCCTTCCCAAGACCCAATTTGATCTGATTATCAAACTATATTAAAAAACAGAGTAATGGGCTGTGGGATCTCACAGCTTTAAAAAAAAAGAAAAAAAAAAAAAGGAAGTAAAATCTCAGAGCTCATCATTGGTTTCCCAGGATAAATGGTGTGGAATTGTTATAATCCATTTCATGTTCAGCTTCTTTGATCACAGGTCCAGGATAGCAAAGCAAGGCTGGGATGCACCTGACACTGTCATGATGCTGAAAGCTGCCACAGGTCATAGAAAGTTCTCTGTAAGACACCTACTGTAAACAGAAACAACACTGAGACACAACACTTATTCATTGGAACAGGGGGAGAAGAGATTAAATCACACTCTGTGGGAGACATCTGTCTCCCTGCCTCAAAAAACTTCATTGTCATGCTAAGTCTGGATTTAAAATGTCACCTTGAAAATGCGTGACATTTTAATGGGATGATTGCCAAGATTCTCAAATCTTTTAATTAGCATATGAATCACAATGTTAAATATTGTGGGAAAAAGCATAAGAAACTAGAATTATGAGAGAATGCCTTGCATTTCCCTTGGTTAAACATATCTTGGGAGGACCGTCTCATAAAAATCTAATATTACAATGACAAATGAGATTTAAAAAAAAATACTGTGGTATTCCCATTTATACCATCAGCTGGTTGTGATTGCATGGAGGTTTTTTAAAATTTATTTTACAGCTGCCTGTGAAAGCAGCCTGGGTGTTGCCTGTTCTTTCAATAACCCTCACAGCACATTACTGCATCACCACAGCCACTACTACTGCAGCCCTGAGGATGAGTTGCATTCCCTTTTTCCACATTTCTGATGCAGCTCCAAAAAAATCCAGCAGGATTTCATCAATGTCTTTTGTTCATCTGTCTCCAGTAAACAGTTTTTTTGGTTGCTCCTAAAAATGGTGGAGGCCAAAACAAACCATCAGTTCCCAAAATTCCTTCAGTTAGAGAAAGCCAAGGAGCCTGCACTGTGCAAGAAGCTCCTTTGTGCCAGGCAAGGCTGGTGGGAGTTAAGCACATGGATAAATACTTGGTAGATTAGGGTTTGTGGTTAGAGAAAATCCTTCCAGTTGAAAGGAAACTTCCTATAAGGATCTCTTAAGAAGTTTTAGTGGGAGGAGGGTGCAGTGAAGTTTGTACAGCAGGTTTTTCCATCTAATGTGAGCAGCACAGTGCAGGAGCTGGCAAGGCTAAAGCAATTGTTCATGGCTCCTGCACAGCTCATCTGCCCTGGGAGCTGATTTGTGACGGAAATCCGCTTGAACAGAGACAGTAAATTCGATTTACTTGTGCAAAAGTGGTGAAGGATTCCATAGTGGAACAATCCAGGTCCAACAATCCAACGTACTTTGGATCATAAGATTTAGTAAAGAAAAAGGGCAGAAACCACATAATTCAGATTCGACCTTCAAGCATCAGAAGTTTGAGGTTAATCAAAACTAGGGTGTAGTTCATCCATTCATGAAGATGTCTGCGTGAGTTGGAGCTGCCCCTGTGCTTGGATCTTTCCATTTCCCTTGGGATCTGCTCAAATCCAGGGATCAGAGTTTGCAACAGAAAGCCCAAAACCACACACAAAAAGCTGTTTAAAGGAGGAGGCACCAGCAGACAGAACTAGCTGTGAGTCTGTCCTGGCTCTCTAGAAACTTCCAGGTAGGAACAGAATAGAGGGATGGAAGTTTTGAGGTAATTTGGATCTCCCTGAGAGATTGGAGAGTAACTGAAATAATAGTTTTGTGTGCTAATGAAAGAGACCAAACACAGGAAACGGCACTGGGGGAGAAACGAGAGTTAAACTCAGGATTAATGTGCAGAAACAACAGGAGAATGAACCTGAATTTCCCGAGCAGGAGGCAGGATTTGCTGGGCCATGGGGGGAAAGGTTGGTCCCCTCCTGCTCATCTCTCTGACAAACCAGCTCTGGGCTTTGCAGGGCTGGGGAGCCAAGGGGAGCCTGGGCAATGTCCATGCATGGAACCCCTGGTCCCAGCTGCCACACCATGATAGGGAGGACAACCTTTCCCAGCTGGGAGAAACCAGGTGAGCAGCTTGGCTGTGGCCTGTGGGGGGATTTATGGGGGATAAATCTCGTGGGGGATTTATTCCAGCCTTCCCTTTGGTGAGGTGGTGCACAGGAATCAATCCCAGCTGTTCAAACAGCTGCAACACCTGGGCACAGCTTGGCTCCCAACCATCACAAAACCATCAATGATTTGAACTCTTCATGATGTGCTACAGGGATAATTCTAAGGCTTCTCCTCCAAGGAAAACCATCCCTCCCCTCTCCTGCACAGCCCCTTCCCTTGTATTTATTATGGGAGCATTGGTCTTTAGGGAGCATGGACAGCTCTCATGTGATCACATACACAAAATGAAACAGTAACACCCATTTCTGTAGAAGAATATATTATTTAGCAGATCAGTTTAAAAGTAAAAAAAAAAAAAAATCTGTACATCTTTGAAGGTGTCTCTTGTTGTTTCTTTTTTTTTTGCATCAACAAGGATAAAAATGTGTTTGCACCATGGTTTTCTCAGCTTTGTGCTCCCTTCTTTGCTCGTGCTGAAGGATCCCATGGTGTCTAGCTGTACCAAGCCACAAAGCGACCCTGCAAACCCACTAAGGTTTCTTCTGATTTCTTCTACTGTAGGAAAAAAAAAAAAAAGAAAATTGCATCCACTATGCTGGGCTTCTGAATGTACTGTGAACACTATAAAATTCAGAGAATAATGAGGAGAAATGTGTCATTAGGGCCTGCCAGGCAAACAAAAATGTATGCCAGGACCCTTGTCAGTGTATAAGCATCTGTTGAGCTATGCTGTAATTAGCATACTGCTGTACACATACAGGGAGCATCTCGACTAAAACAGCTCCTGGTGCCACTGGATCATTTCCCAGAAAAGGCTCCTTGGCTAAACTCTGATTTGTCTCTACAGACTGTGGTCACCAAAAAGGCAGATCTGCTGCAGCCTGTGCAGTGTCCACAGGGAGAGTCCTGCTGGGAGGCTCTTGTGGGAATGCTGGAGCCTGGGGAGTCCTGCAGGAGGCTGTGGTGAGAATTCAGGATTCTGGAGAGTCCTGCAGGAGGCTGTGGTGAGAATTCAGGATTCTGGAGAGCCCTGCAGGAGGCTGTGGTGAGAATTCAGGATTCTGAGGAGCCCTGCAGGAGGCTGAGCTGAGAATTCAGGATTCTGGAGAGCCCTGCAGGAGGCTGAGCTGAGAATTCAGGATTCTGGGGAGTCCTGCAGGAGGCTGTGGTGAGAATTCAGGA